ACTCCCTTATAGAATGTCCTTAAGTTTGAACCCCTGAAGGTTCATAGGCTTATCAGGGTTTCCACTAAGGGTACAGTACCCTCTCGAGGACCATCGAACTGCTCCATTTGATTTGCATGCGAAAACACGCAGGGACTCTTTTCGGTGTTCAAGTTCACGGCTTGATTTATGGCTCACGCCACAAGAAGTTATAGGGAGTCAGCTCCTTGAGCCACAGGTAAACAAGACCCTCGGGACCTCTAGAAATCGCCCCATAAAAGTGGCGAGACCTTGCCGCGCAAATTCACAAATCCATTAGGAGTTCGTTGGGTGTTTCCCGCACTGATGGCGTTTTTACGATTGTTGACAACAAATTGACACGATTTGTAATGGTCTTGTCCAGGTCAGGTCATCAGCCAGTTCAGGCGCCACGTGTCCAACCAAGGACCTAGGACTAGTCATATAGTATATATCCATATCCCGGACGATCGGAGAGATGGCGGCCAGTGCCGGAGCGAGCAGCTGGTCGGGCAGCAGCGGGGGCAGCAACTCCTCCCAAGGACGAACCATAGCCACCGCCCAGGCGCCCCAGGAGGAGCGACTAGTGGTGAGTACATATTCAGGGTGCTTAAACGGGAAGATAACTAACCTATGGCCACATGACACTTCCTTAAATTTTGACAAACTCCAGTCAGCTTGAAACAGACCTTGCCACATAACATTTTTTTTAAATTTATATATGTATGATATCAAAACATCAATGCTTACAGGATTGCTAGGTTTCCATGATATTTAAAAAGTTTTTAGTCTAGTGTCATATGGCCATAACTCTTAAAGGCAACTAATTTAGGTAAACACATAAGTTAAAGTTTTTAAGGCCCGTTTTTCCAGTCTCGTATTTCACAAATAAATTAAACTTTACAATTGAATCTATTAAACTCCTGGAAAGGTAGAGATTAAACCCTACTTTTAGCGTAATATGGGACCTAAACAAATTGTATCTAGACGTAGCAGGATAAGGAGCCCATATATCATAATTTTTTCGATTTTGACCCTCCTCCTTTCAAGTAATCCAATTTATAATCAAAAACAGTAATTTTTTACAGAACAACTCCTAATGCTAACATTTTGTTCAATTCTGATGATCACAATCAGAATTCTAGGACATATATTAATTTTTCTATACACAATATTACCCTATGAGATCCCCTTGTTAATTTAAAGAGTTCTTATCCAAGTCTAATGACCAAATGGTTTCTCACCCAGGTGGCTGTTCGAGTTAGACCCAGCATGGAAGCCTCGGAGCGTTGCATTGAGGTCGTGTCCGGCGGATCCCTCCTCTACGATGACGGCGGAAAGAGTCGTCCGCGGCAGTACTCATACGATCATGTTTTTCGGGAGAACGACAGCCAGGAGCAGGTGTACAAGACCACCACAGCTCCATTGGTAAGGGATGTCCTCAATGGTTTGAATGCAGCCGTCTTTGCCTATGGAGCCACGGGTTCTGGCAAGACGCATACCATGCTGGGGCCTGTGCCGCGCAAGAAACCGCAGACTTCCGACCGTGCCCCGCCCACCGCTTCCTGTGATTCCACGGATGTGAGCAGTCAGGACATTGGACTAATGGTCCGCGCCATTGAGGATATTTTCAGTCACATCGAGTCAGCGGAAGCTGATTCCTGTCGGGTATCCATATCCTACTTGGAGATATACAACGAGCTGATAAGGGATCTCTTGAATCCGGGTGGCCCTTTGGAGCTTCGAGAGGATCATCGTGGCCAGCGCATCACTGTGGCGGGTCTCTCGGAGATTACCACTTCCAGCAGAAAGGAGGTTGTGAGCCTGTTGCTCAAGGGAAACAAGGCGAGGACCATGGAGCCCACGGCCGCCAATCAGACCTCGTCCCGGAGTCATGCCCTGCTGAGCATCATGGTCCAGGCCAGGACTCCGCTGGGCACCAAGCAAGGACGGCTCTTCCTCACCGATCTGGCTGGATCGGAGCGGGCCAAGAAGACCAAGAATCGAGGTAAACGACTGCAGGAGGGGGCGCACATCAACCGCAGTTTGTTAGCTCTTGGCAATGTAATCAATGGATTGTCCGGCGGAGCAAGATATGTCAACTACCGGGACTCGAAGCTGACCAGGCTGCTCAAGGAGGCGCTGAGTGGTCGCTGCAAGACCGTGATGATTGCCCACGTTGCCCCCGAAAGCAAGCACCGGGATGAGACGAAGAATACCCTGGTCTACGCGGATCGGGCCAACAGCATCACCACCAAGCTGCAGAACTCCGTGTACATCGATGAGTTCAAGGACTTTCCCACCAAGCACTACCAGAGTCTTGTCTCGGAATTACGCGATGAGGTGTCGCGTCTGCGCACCAAGATGCTTACCGAAAGGCCTCGAAGTGGAGCAGCTGCAGCAGCGGCCAAGGCAGCAGCCGCGGTATCTGCAGGCGGTTCAGGAGCAGGACCTGGAGCAGGACCCGAGGCTGGCCAGGAACAGGACGAACAGCGCAAGACGGAACTGCGCTACCTGCGCGAACAGATCGTTCTTACCTTTAAGCAGCAAATGAAGCTGCGACGGAAGCTTCTCGAGGCCGAGAGTCATCTCCTGGGCCTGGAACTGGATGCAGAGCGCCAGCACATGATCATCTCCCACTGGCAAGGACGCATAGGAAAACTATATGACGCCATGGGCGATGATGGTGGGTGTTGAATGTTATATAACACTAACATTATAATAATAATGGCATTTTGAACTTAAAAATTCGTATTTAATATATAAATGCAATTTAAATTACATGATTTTTATGAAAATATTTGAGGAAAAGTAAAAAATATTAGATGCTTTGAGTATTTCATTCTTAAAAGAAATCGTAGAACTAATTATAATTGTAAAATTTAAGAATTGCATATTTAAATTTAATTAGTTAGGATTTTGAAATCACTTTTGAGTGTCGTTTGAAGTGTCTTAAAGAATGCAACAATATATTTATACCCGTTACTCGTAGAGTAAAAGGTATACTAGATTCGTCGGAAAGTATGTAACAGGCAGAAGGAAGCGTTTCCGACCCCACAAAGTATATATATTCTTGATCAGGATCACTAGCCGAGTCGATCTAGCCATGTCCGTCTGTCCGTCTGTCTGTCCGTCCGGATGAACGCTGAGATCTCGGAAACTATGGGAGCTAGGCTATTGAGATTTGGCGTGCAGATTCCTGAGCTTCTTACGCAGCGCAAGTTTGTTTCAGTAGACTGCCACGCCCACTCTAACGCCCACAAACCGCCCAAAACTGTGGCTCCTACAGTTTTGATGCTAGAATAAAAATTTTAACTGAAATGTATTGTTCTCACCAATACCTATCGATTGACCCAAAAAAAAGTTTGCCACGCCCACTTTAACGCCCATAACGCTTAAATCTGTATACCTCCGGTAGGTGGCGCATTTTAATCTCGCTTTGCTGCTTGCATATCTCCATATAGCTGAGTAACGGGTATCTGATAGTCGAGGTACTCGACTATAGCGTTCTTCCTTGTTTAAGTTTACAAGTTCAATGATATTTTTAGAAAGAAAATATTTATTATTTAAGGTAGTGTATTAGTATAAGTGTTATGAATTGTACTAATTTTACTTCCTGTTTCTCCTGCAGACATTGAATCCGAGGGATCTGTGGCCCTGAAGAATGCCTGGGGAGAGCTGGCCGCCATTGAGAAGGAAACTCGGCGCTACAAAGAAATCCGAGAGAGAACGGAGCACGAGCTGGAGCAGTGTCGTCAGAAGGGGGTGAAACTGGAGGATGTGTGTCTTAACTAGATGCAGTGGTTTCCTTGATAGATAATCATCCTATTTTCCTCTCCAGGAGCTTCCAGAGCGCATCAGCAGCGACGAGGAGCGCGAACTTCTGGCCCTTCTCTGCAGGGTGCATGAGTTGGAGGCGGATAAGGTGTCCCTGCAGGCCGAGCGATTGGCTCGCCAGGCGGAGCTGCGTCGCCGTGACCTCCAGTTGCTCCGGGCAGAGCGGCAGCGTCGCCTCTGCGAGGACATCATCAGCTCCCAGAGGCGGCTCATCGAAGAGGGCAATGTGGACCTGCCCGACGAACTGCGTGAGCTCTACGGGCTTTACCAGCAAGAGATCCATGCGGGAGTGGTCACGCCAAGCACCAGCAACTACGAGAGGAAACTTCCGCCCATCTATACAGCGGGGTAAGGATGATCGTTATTCATTATAGATATTATATCTAAACACAAAAGTACCCATTGTTGTGTATTACAAGCTGACAAAAAATTTATAAAATGTATGGTCCTATCTGCTTTTAGATCCGACTCACCCGGCTCCAGTTCCAGTTCGGAGTGGTCGCCGGCCTCACCGCTACCCCACATTGATAACCAAATGGATCCCGTGGACCGGGTCATGGGTCCGCCCGTCAATCCGCGTCTGCCCCGACTTTCCACGGCGACTGTTCCTGCCGGAGGACCTCGGCGACCTTCGATACGGCTGGCCAGGAACACCCATCCACAGCCGTAGGACTGACAACGGCTAAGGAGAGGAAGGTGCTCAGGAATAGTTGTTACTAAGGATTAGGATTACTAGGAAGGGGATGCGATCGTCTGCTCAAATTTACTTATTGTATTATAACTTACCATCCCACGCACTTCAGTATGTATCCGCAAACGTATCAATAAATCAAAGAGACAGCTTAAAGTTATATAAAAGTATATTTATAAATCGGAGTATATATAATATTCAAATGAATTTTTGGAGTATGTAAATTTTAAAAGTTCTGGGTGGGTAAATAACAACTTTAACATTTGGTACTAAAACATCGAACTGTATTCACATTGTACCATATAATAACATGTAATAGGATAACCGAGCATCCGTCGAAGCCAATCTTCTGTTCATGCTATAAGTTCCAAAGATCTAACATAAGTGTGCTGTTCCGCCAGTTGCAAGGAGAACCATTCCATCTGGGAAAGCAAGGATGTTGAGTTCCAAATCAACCCAAGACTTGCGATAATTCTTACACTTCGATCCAGATGATCACAGCTTTCGTGGTCTCCAATAGGGAGTCCGTGGTGTGCGTTAAGGAATTCATCATCAGTGAAAAGAACAACGGCTGTATGCAGGTGATAAATACCATCTGCAGGTACTCCAGTTCCGATTCAATGGCACTGTGACCGAGGCAAACGCGAACCAACATATATCCGACCCGTATGCCACTCCAACATTCCGCATCAAGTAGCAGAGAAACACGAACCTAAAAGGAAAGTTTTTTTTAAATATTTAAAATGTTAAGATATTTTGTTTTTGATTGATCCCTAACCAGTTTTATTTATCGCTAATTACCACCATATTAGTATTTTATTAGTAAGCTATGCATTAACTGATTTTGTTACTAACCTAAAACCAAGCAAACCTCATCGGTCATATCGATCAGCGACTGGAACATGGCTTGCAGATCTCGCAGACGCCAAAACTGATCCGGAAAAGGCTTCGGATCCAGGATCAATATCTCCAGGCCCGACTGCAGTCGCCACCAGTTCCGACAGATCTCCATCATGAGCCAAAGGCCAAAGAGTTTGTGGCAAAGATCATGCACTCGGACAGGAAGCAGTTGCAGGGATTGTGGTTTCCTCTTAAAAATCTACTGACATTCAAGGCGCATGGATGCCGAGTCGAAGAATCAGCAGAAGAGTCACGGTTACCAAGAGAATATTAGGAATCGCTTCTGGTTTTTGGGTACCCTGAAGCCCCGGGACTTGTTCATCGCCTCTATATTCTTAAGTTTTATAATCATTTTACAAATTCGGTCCTGACGCCGATGGGCACAACTCATGCAACTGATCAGAGATAGGAAAACAAGACCGAAATATGTGATGGCAGCCAGCCTCACTAGCGGGGATTCCTCGAAGGAATCAGCACAGAAGTGCCAAAAGTCCATAAGGAACTTAATCGTCCGTATGATCACCAGAAAATTATGAATTAACCGATAGCAGGTTAGAAAGCGGGACCGACGTAACCTTCCGAGGAGATATAAAACGTGGTGATCCCATTTAATGAGCAAAACCAAATAAATCCTAATTGAAGCACTCGTCGCGGTGATATCATGATCCTTTTTGAAGTCCAAGATATAAACTGAACTTTGAAATACAAGCAAAACAGCCTGGAATTGATTTACTTTGCATCCTCTCCAATCAATTGAAGTAGGTTTTACTTTTGGGAATACATTTTAAATGGAAGTTAACAACATTATGGATTTTCAGTCCGTTAAATTGAACCCTTATAGCCATTTGTGACTAGCTTTTTGTTAAAAAAATTGTTGAATCGACATGTTTTATTATTAAAACATGTTATCAATGTAAAGCTATCAAATCGGATTTCTTTAAAAAGAAATGCTTTACAACTTAAATGCTTCTAATTCTCAAAAAAGAAAAACACCCAGTTATATAGAACTTAAATAAAAAATAGTGGGTTTTAGCTAATTTTTTTAAATGTTAAATAAATATAGCCATAATAATAAAGTTTCAAATTCGATTTTAAGAAAGCTGTTATCAAAAGGCAGATTATAATGTTAGTATGCAACACTGAAATCGATAGTTCTGACGACTCTGCTTAATGACTTGGCAACCCTGGCTGACTGCGAAAATTATTGCGATTTCCTGCGTATTTAAGAATTGACCGAAAATGTTTAACAACTTGGACAATTTTTAACCGCCAATGCCGCTGCGATCCAGGTGACGATAGTCACGATCAGATGACGGGCAGGCAATGGATCTCAAACCACGAAGTTTTGGTGTCCCGGAAGTGCACTGGAAATGCGGATCCGCAATTGAGGTTAAAAACGTTCAACAATTTCGGCTGGTTTATCTGGCATAAATGCAGCTGCAATTCCGAGCTTTTGACAATATACGAACTAAATAACTATGGAACTATAGTAAACTGTAAGTCAACGTGCAGTCAAAAAGCTCCCGAACAAATCTCCCCGCAGAGATTGCATTATGCTGGGAATACGGGGCATCAGGCCACTATGGCTACTACCCCAAATTCGCTGACTCATCAGAAGTCGAATGGGTCCCATGAAGTCGTTAGCCCAAGGCCACCACAAAACTCAGCGATTGCCATCTCATATCTGCACCCGCGAGACCAAGATGCCTCCTTGCCTAGACCTGTGGAAATATCTCCTTTAGGTCAACCAAAAACTATCTCCAATCGAAGACTATGTGCATCTTGTAGAATTTTGGAAAATCTTCCGAAACTATCGGACAATGGTCATACTTCCCAAAATCAACAACCGCAGATAATTCTGTGATGAACAAGGAAAATCATGAGCAGCCCGGTAGCAATCCAATCCTCCTAAAGAGAAAGGCGGAATCTTTCACGTCTCAAGAAAATGCAGCCACACGTCAGGTGAGCCAACTTAATAAGCAGCAGCTAATATATAAAAAACCTATATTTTTAACCCACAGAAAGTGGAATCTATCGTAAAATCGCCGGAAAATCGATCAATGATGCAGAGCCCAAAACCAATGAAATTCAAAGCTTCAAAACCAATAGTTCGAAAGTGCAGATTCGAATTATTCCACAGTCAACAACCCAGCAGCAGATAAAATCGCGAAACATTGCTACCAATAACCAATTTTTTAAAATACTCCCGAAGGCACCTATGGCATCTTCAGTTTCCCTGAATAATAATCAATATTTTGGGTCTTGGATCAAGGTAAAAAATCCTCACTTACCGGAAGCGACAGCTGTTGCCAAATCAGGAAAGTCAAAGCTCTCGTTTCTCCAAGCGGATTCCACCAAAAAGATATCCATAAAATGCCTACAGAACATAATTATTCGAAATTAGTGTTAAAGCCACGTCCAATTTTTTATAAGAATATGAAACCTGTTGCGACATCTCCAGTACCACAGAAGAGGAGCTCTGAATCGTTCGATTCTCAGGAAAATCCACAAAAACATCCTTCGGTTGTTTACTCAGACAAACCACAATTAGAGCAAAAACAAGGATCAACTTCTCCCAAAACACTTCACACTTTAAAAAATTTAAATTTTCGGAAAAAATGCAGTCTTTTGTATCCTCACTGATCAACAATACTTTGGAAACAAGAGTAGCTTTTACATTGGACAAGAACACTAATTCGAAACTATTGGTGTCTCCAGTAAAGAATTCTCCACGCTCAAGATTCAAGATAAGGAGATGTTTCCTTCAACTGATTTATTGTCCCAAAATATGTTGAAATCTACTCAACAACTAAGTCAAGTTTACACAAGTAAAATCTGCAAAGCGTTCTCTGCTTGCTGAATTTAATCAGCCAATTAAAGTCGTAAGGAAGTCAGCGAGCTCAATTTTTTAAAATAAATTAAACAGGCAACTTGCTACATCTACGAAAAGATTCCTTTAAATAATAAAGATCAGGAATGGCAGAACGACTTGAACGTTCTGATCCGACCCGGGCATAGAGAACTAAACTAATTCCTAACATCAAAATCTAACTTTTGTGAGGAAAATAAAAAACTTTTAACTTTAATATTTTTAAGTAATGCATTTTTATTTATTTATTTAAAAATTGTATTAAAAATATATATTTATTTTTTAAAACACTATATTGGATCGGTTGACATTGTTTTAAGTTTCCAAGAATCAAAACAATGAACCAAATACTATTTGGCACAGTTGAGTTTATCTTGTTTCACATTAGTGTTCAAATCGTATTTATTGAGTCCTTTTTTTATATGGGGGTTTACGATTAAAGGCTTTTAATTTTTACTAATTACTGTATAATGTATTGTGGTAATGTTTGTATAATACTAAATAAAAAACGGAATAAGAACAATTTTAAATTCATTTTATTGAATTTTGACTTGCACAACACTGTGCTAGTATCGGAATTTGTAATCGGTCTTGCTTATCGGTCTGCAAGGACTGCGGCAACTCTGGAAAAATGGTTGACTTACCTCGTGTTATTTTGGCAAAATAAAATAAGATGGAGCAAGCAAACGTTTCAAATTATGGAATTATTTCCGTGCGCGAATGCCACTGCAGAGGACGAAACGATCATCAGATGATGAACACGGAATATGTGACCAATTACGGGATTTTGACGACGCGCAAATGCCAAGGGGAAGCCAATCCGCCAACTCTTAAATTAAAATCCTTCATAAATCGCGGAGTTTTGGTGCTCCACAAATGCCTTTGTAACTCGGAACTGCTGCAGATCGATGATTTGACTAACTACGGAAACATGGTTATCTGCAAGAGCACCTGTAAGTTGGTCAAGCGTAATAAGCTCAAGGCCTTCGAAGCTCCTGAAAATCCGGCTGAAATAGGTGAGTACTTAAATTTGCCAATAATGCCAATAATTACCATCCGCCGTTTCTAGACTCCATGAAACCAGGTGTGACCACCCAGGTATCCCCAGGTCGTCCATTGGACCTAAGTGCCTCATCTAGTGTAGATAAAAGTCCAGAGGAAAATTCGTTTGGGAAAAACTTAACCAATTCAAGGGAGTTTACTGAAGCACCTGGTGGTTCTCAAAATCAGCTGTACCAAAGTGTCCCAACGAAAGTCACTGATCTTCCGGCAATTACCACAAATAATCCCCTAAAACGACCAAGGAAATGCACAGATACCGTGGAAAATCCGCCAAAGAAGCTATGCTTGGTCCCGGCAAAGCAATCTCTCGACAGCTCTTTGAAAAACACTACAAATCAGACTTATTTGGTTTCACCTAATAATCCATTAAAATGCCAAATGGAATCCACTGAAACCTTCCAAAATCCGCAGCAAAAGCTAAGTTTGTTCTTAGAAAACAATTCTTCTCCACACGATCTGGACCACCCAAAGTAGAGACTACTGTGGGCCAATACCACAACCACGTGTAGTAGTCATGTGCACACCTTGCGCCAAAGAACTGCAAGATTATCTGATCGACCCAAAAAACGACGATCTGAAACCGAAAAAGTCAAAATTAAGGTGCCCTCACTGCTTGAACGTTAAGGCCAACAAAAGAGATTTTAGTTCTCACATCGCCACTTGTCAGCAGGAGCACAAGCCCTACAAGTGCATAGGGTGTGCCTTTAAGTCCACCAAAAAAAATAGTGTTACTGGACACTCTTCAACTTGTTTCTATCTCCTCTCCGTGAAGAAATACGAGCAACGTTGCTTATCAATCCACCATTCTAATAATTAAGAAGGCGTCGATCTTTAATTACTTTTTTTTCGAATTTATAACGCTTTTTGATGATAATAGCGTAAATAAGTTCATGGTTATAAAGTAGATAAATCTTTTTTTTTTAAAGTTCAGAAATAATTTGGTATTTTTAATGAGACATAACATCTTCAAAAATCTAGTAGAGCTAACTTGAAGAAAAATTACCGCTCGCGAAGTATGTAAAGTTTACAACATTGTATCCATTTCTTAATTTCGCTAAACGTTATAATCTCTTATTTTTGTTAAAATGCTTTAAAAGTGTGATTTGAATTTTAAAGTATATTTTTCACTACTGTATTTTATTACTTAAATAAAACTGCTAAAAGAGCAAAGCAAAAACGGTTTTGTTTATTTCAAATCAATTTAAGCAATTGGGTGAATAACATAATAATAATATAAAAGTACAAAATCTAACTAATGAGACTTAAGGAACGTGAAAAGTCTATAGGCCAGCTGCATGATCTGAAATTCAAATAAATAATGCAGTAAAAATTGTAATGCCATTTAAAACTAACTAACTTCTGTGAAGTGCACCATGTTCACTTCGATGAGGCCAAAGGCGGCCAGTTTCTGTGTCCGCTGGCTATATTGCATCCAGAGTAGATAGAACTTTCGGTACCGCTGGCTTCCCAAATACCATTCCTGGAGACATAGCGACGATTCCAGTCCCTCCGACTGTTAATCAGAAATAATGATTGCTATTATGATGGGCTCCAATCTGACTCACCGCCTCCTCCAGTTGCGTGCCACGGAAGCAGATCTCAAAAGTGAAGACCACAAGGACAAGAGTGGGTAATATAAATTGGGCTATGATCACCACATCGGATGTTTCCGACAGCACAAAAAGGTAGAAGCAGAGGGAACCGGCGCCCACAAAGTTGCTTACCAGGAAAGCCACTTTGAAGATTTCATTGTACCTGAAAGGCTGGTATTTTTAATTTAATCGGGTAAATAGTATCATTAAAAGTATTAAACATTTTTTCTTTTTAATTATAGATTGAAATAAAATGTACCTGCCGCACAAGTCATTAAGGAGCTGTTGTCTTTGAACTAACACTCTGAGATCCGAAAAGAACTGCTCCTCGTTGGTCAAACTCTGGCGGGGATCAAGGGCCGAGAACTGACGGGCGAGGTGGTTCAGGTGCATGAGCAAGTGTCCCTGCATCACATTGAACAGGTTGTCAAAGGTTATGAAGAAGGAGACACCGCAAGTAGTACAAGAAAAGTCGAAAATCCAAACAAAAAGTAGAATTTGGGGTCCTTTCGCAGTCCCAATGGCAGCCAACCCCAAGAAGTTGTTCGTGCTGGGCAACAGGTATCCTTTCCCCTCATGGGTCAAGAGAAATAGAGCCATCGGCATCAAACAGAACGCCAAACCACCCACATGGGCGTAGATCTGGACAATGCGATAGCGCTTCCAAAAGTAGCTGTATGTCCGATCCATTTGCATGTCCAACTGGCTGCTAAGTCGCGTGGACACTCACGATCCAAGTCATTGACAAACTCCACAATTTCGTTTCGTTTTAGGAAAGCATTAGTCCCCTGATGGAGAAGTAAATGGTGATGCTAAGTACGGAGGATTTGATTGGTAGGTCGGCCTAGCCAGAGATGACCTATGATATCCCAACCATTGAAAAAAAGAACATGATATTGAGGATTGCCGACAGCCAAAAGGGCCACATGGAGGCGTTCACCATGCTGTTGTCCTCCGGATTTCTAGCCACTGGAAATGAACCATCCTAGCCAGCTTCTGAAATAACTGCGGCCGCAGGAAGTCCTCCATCCGAAAGGGTTCCTTTATTTCCGTTGTCTTCATGTGAATTACCTCACTTTTTTTGTGGATTTCGCAGACAGAGCTTCTTATATATGGCAAGTTACGCTGGATAATTATGGATGTAATTGCCAGGGTCCTACCACCTTGGATTAATTATTGGTTTCCGGATCGCAGAAAATTTACTACTGGAAAAGTCTACTACACTTTGTAAATTATTTATTATTTTACCTTAACGATTTTATATCAAAAAACGTTTTTTATTTAGAATTTTATTTTAAGTTACTTTTGGTTGTTTATTTTTAATATGCCTACAAATGGACAATTGATAGAACAAACAGTTTAAGGTATACATAAGTTTTGAATGCCATTAGTTATAATCGCAGGTCGCAGCTTTAATTGAAATTTTGATGGGCTGTCTGAACTTTAAAATGAATCTAGAATTATTTTAATTTCAGTGCAATCACACAATTGATTATAATTACTCCCATATCTCACCAGCCCTTCAGAATTACAGGTTGAGCTCTTGCTAATGTTGATTGCTACTTGTGCTATTTGCTCAGCAAGTGTTGATTTAATTGCACAAAATTGCAACCGGGAATTAAAAATCGACATGCTATTTTTGTTATTTATATAATTTATTTATACATTAAATTTATTTTATATATAATTAGCACTCTTTTAAAATACTAAGATTATCAAAATAATGTATGCATGACGAAAAACATTTAGTAAATTTTACTTAGGCTGATGTAACGAAAATAAATTCCTTTTCACATGTGCGGAAAATTGAGAAACATATATTAGAACATATATTAGAAAACATTTTTGTGTTGATGTTTAAGAAAAACTTTTTTAAATTGATGTTAACATTTTTGACTGATTTTAAAAAGTTAATAGCCCTTATATAAACCATTTAACTTTTATTTAAATTGGTTTTGCATTTGATTGATTTTTAAAAAAATTTATATTATATATAAACTATAAATTTTATTTTCTAACTGACAGTTTTAAAATTCGACCTATTTTGTTAAACATTTTAAAACTTATTCCGTCTGCCTTGGAGGTCGACTGTACTTAAGGGAAACTAATTGCCGTGTTCAGTGAATGCCCCTAGTGTATTTCGTAATATGTGCGCTGCCTGCACTGCGCAAAACGGGGGTGAGTTTCAGTGGCACTCACCGAAACATAATTTCCACTTTGCGCTCTCTTTTGCTCTCTTATTTTCCCACTTTTGGCTCTCCCCTCTCCAAAATCAAGGGCGCCCCCGAAGGTTTTTGTTATTTTTTTCGTATGTGGGTCACAAGCGGCGGCGGCGACAAACATAAACAAATCGAAGAGCAAGGGAGAGGAGAGCCCTTAGAGAGAGGAGCGGAGAGAGAGGGCATGCGTGTTAAGTGAAATTATCTACGCAGAAGTATCTGTATATAAAATGTATCTGGAAACGTATCTGCGGCCCTGGACGAGCGGTTTTCGTCATAAGATACAGATACACAGCTGTGAGAAGTTTGTTTTCCGTTCGCATTTGGATTTTGTAACCCGACCAGCGGCAGCAGGTTGCTGTCGAATTGGAGTAGAAAATCACTGAAAATAATTGAAAATCTAATTCAAATATTTCACAACTAACGCGATGATTGTCGGCAGCTAAACCCAAAAGAAAATTCAATCGTTCAACCGCACAAATCACGGAATCAATAGCCCTACGCAGTTCTGTAGCTGCAAAATCATTTTTTTAGAATGCCAAAATACCAACAAATATTGTGCCAATCAGCCCTGAAAAATGTCTATCTAATGTGATTACCGAATAACCGATTAAAGTGAGAACCAATCAACGCACCAATTCAAAAGGAAAACCGGAAAAACTAATAACATAAATCAAAAACAAGTTCATTACCATACATATGCTATACATATTATATTGAAGTAAGAACAAATCAACGAACAAATAAAATAGGAAAACTAATCATACAACTTAAGGCACTTCATGTAGACAGCATAAATAAACAGCTAATAAATTTGACAATCTAATCAAGACAAAGACAAAACAACTCCAAAAAGGCAGTTCAAAGAAATACTCAACAAAAGGTCAAGATTTAATAGAGTTGCTGCATGGGTAATAGTCTGATAACGAGTGGAAAACCGAGTCAGCGTCGTGAGAAAAGGCTTTTCGAGAGGCTGAGCTGCAGCTACGCTCAGGTGAGTGTTTTCCGGAATTTTGTTAGCAATGGGGGGTAGAAAGAGGTAGTGGTGGAAAACCGAATTAACCTTGGCAACCAAACTTTACCGGCCGAAGAACAGGTGGTCAAGTGCATCGAACCTTCAAAGGGGAGGATCTATCGTTACTATGGTACAATAAAATTTTCGTAAGAAGTTGGTAGTAAAAATTCGTTATCGCTCATTAAAAGGGGCTCCTGTACTTAAGTATTTGAAAATGGTTTTGTAGAATAGATTGTATTCAGTTATAACATAGGTCATTGCAAATAAACACTTCTGTGAATGTTTCTCAGTGAAATGCTTTATTTTATGACTTAATAAAAGGATTATTTAAATTCGATTTAATATCTAACGAAATTGTTTATTTGCAGGCTCCCAATAGAATAGAGTTAAACATGAATCCCCTGCTGGTTCTGGCCCGCACAATCGCGTCCCCACCCACCCCGCCACTCACGCCGGAGAAAAAGGACTCGGATAAGGAGCAGGATCACCCAAAGGCGGCCATCGAACAGCTGCCCAATGAGATGTGGCTAGAGATCATGTCCTATCTCTCCTACAACGATCTGCAGCAATTTCGCATGGTCTCCTGGCGATGTCGAGATCTGGTCCACCGACGCCGCTTCATGGAGAAGGGTAAGGTGATAGTGACGCAGCATAATCTGGAGGCAATCCACAAACATGCCAAGGGAAAGAACTGCTACTTGAGCTTCGAGCGGATTGAGCTGC